ATAAATCAACAACAAAGTGACGTAAAACAACTACACAGTGATGTAAAACAACCATGAAGAGACATAAATCAACAACAAAGTGACGTAAAACAACTACACAGTGACGTAAAACAACCATGTAGAGACATAAATCAACAACGAAGTGATGTAAAACAACCAAGGGACGTAAATCAACCATAACGTGACGTAAAACAACCAAGGGATGTAAATCAACCATAAAGTGACGGAAAACAACCACTAAGAGATGTAAATCAAAAACAAAGTAATGTAAAAACAAATATGAAGAGACATAAATCAACAACAAAGTGACATAAAACAACTACACAGTGATGTAAAACAACCATGTAGAGACACAAATCAACAACAAAGGGATGTAAAACAACCAAGGGACGTAAATCAACCATAAAGTGACGAAAAACAACCACTAAGAGATGTAAATCAAAAACAAAGTGACGTAAAACAACCATGAAGAGATATAAATCAACAACAAAGTGACGTAAAACAACTACACAGTGATGTAAAACAACCATGAAGAGACATAAATCAACAACAAAGTGACGTAAAACAACTACACAGTGACGTAAAACAACCATGTAGAGACATAAATCAACAACAAAGTGATGTAAAACAACCAAGGGACGTAAATCAACCATAACATGACGTAAAACAACCACTAAGAGATGTAAATCAAAAACAAAGTAACGTAAAAACAAACATGAAGAGACATAAATCAACAACAAAGTGACGTAAAACAACTACACAGTGACGTAAAACAACCATGTAGAGACATAAATCAACAACAAAGGGATGTAAAACAACCAAGGGACGTAAATCAATAATAAAGTGACGAAAAACAACCACTAAGAGATGTAAATCAAAAACAAAGTAACGTAAAACAACCACTAAGAGACATAAATCAACAACAAAGTGACGTAAATCAACCACAAGTTTACATAATATAACCACAAAGATATGTATATCAATTACAAAGAGACACACAATGACAAAGACATGTAAATCTGTTACAAAGAGAGCAACAACATGTAAAACAACCACAAAGACACACTAAGCATTTAACAGACACACAAAATGACAGATTGATATAGTAACCACCAGTGACTTCCTGTAATAACTACAATACAGAAAAATACTGAATACTTAACATACTGTTTGATAATATTTCACATTGGCACACCTGTATCCTTTATTTTGATACTTCAGGATTTGCAATCTACCGTCACTTTCTGTTTCTATAGGTCCCAGTGAAAAGAGTGTTTCCATGGTGTTGTCTGTTGGTGCATCGGTGTAATTTGTACATACATCATAATAATCCGTAACCTCAAAATAATCCGTTTTGATATAATAACATTCTTTTGCAGAAACTAACTGTTCATGGGTCATATATTCAGAGTCAATTTGTACTCAACTATAACTGGAATTCCTACCCTTGACATTTCTAGACATCAAAGTGTATGAGGCATGAAAAGGTCTCCACTGAGTTTCCTCTCCCCCAGACACCAAGTTGTCTTATTCATGTTCCTGCTCTGTGTGACCCACTATCTGCCCCAGCCTAAAATGATCTGTTATGGAAACTGAAGAGAGCTTCAAGTTTAACCTTTCAATTAGAAGGACACTTCATCACTTTCTTCACTCTGCTCTTCAACAATATTATAGTGACACTGTAACAGAGTGGTGTGTAGGTTCAGTGAAACAATCCATGATCCTTATCTGTCTTTTCTGCTTTCTCATTGGTTAACAGAGGTATGTGACAGCCCACTGGTGGCCAATCTGCCGCTGTCGTCATTCAGAAGCTCCTCCCAGCTAACCAGCAGCCATGGGCCGGTCTTTGCTAAGGTCAACAGGAGAGAAGGTGAGGAATCTTTTATTGCCATGTCCATTGTCCAGCTTAAATATTTTACCAGCTGCAGTGGCAGCACATTCTGAGATGGATTTATTGTCATAAATAATGACTGAGCTGATCCAGGCATGGCACATACTTTACTTGGTGCAGGCTTTTGTTTCAGTGTCTCATATTTACACTACACTAGAAATTTTACACTTCGGCAAACTCGAGTGTTTTAAATTTTAAGGGTTTGAGGGGCTTTATTACCCAGAATTCATTACTCAAACTTAATCTAACATAGCAATAAAATATTGACAGTAATGTCTTCTTGGAGTGTAAAAGAGGTGACTACAGTGATGGTGTTCACTCATTGCTGGTGAATCCAGGTTTCCCTGGAGAAGGAGCTTGCTACAGACTTTTCTGTTTTACTTGGCACTTTGTGGGAGGAATTCATTTGGTGCACCACATGCACAAAACATGAGACATTCAAGGCATTCAATCAAAGCATTGTTACAAGTAAGGATGAGACGTAGCTCTCTGTTGCAGACAGTAGTTCAGAATTTAATTTATGTTGTGCAGTTTACTTTAAAAGTGCTGTGTGTAACTCTGGAGGAGGATAGTTGATTGTTGAGTCTCATTCCCAGGATGTCAAACACCAGTGCCTAGGTGGTTTGGTCCAACTACCAAGCTAAAGCGTTGGTATTCAATGGCCTGGACATGGGACTCAACAATCACTCAACAATCAATTTAAATATTTTTGATTGTGATAATTTTTTGGTAATGTTCTTGGCTGGTTGTTGCAGAATTATTAATAATAAATTAGGGTGCTAGTGTTTCCACTGTGGGGACTCTCCCAACGGGGTCAGTAAACTTTTGACTGAGGGAACCAGGAAAACTAAATCTATTATCCAATAGTTAAGGTTACTGATTGGTCAAACCCTGGTGCCATGGTAACCGCATGTCAAGTTTCATTCACAAAATAAGGAGGTACATGGCACTAGGTGTGTGCCATATCATCTCTTTCAGGATAATACCGGAATGATTTTTGATATCATATGAAAAATTCATATTGTGATATTTGACTTGACATATTGACATCATACTGTTACCCACGGCAACAACAAACATGGCTGAAAGTGAAATTATTTCCAACTTTGCGTTGGTTCCATAAAGAGGAGCAGCTTCAGTAGCTGGGAATAAATTGTGGCGTCATTAGGCCTGGGTATACTGAATGTTTTATGAAGAGCCCCGGACTTCTAAGACTCTTTTAGCAACTTATCACTCAGATGGAGCGAGTCAGTGTCATCAAGCAACTTTGTTGTAAACCTTTGGTAATGTAAACCTATGTGCCACTCACAGCTTGACCAAAAACAACATAAATGTGAATGTGCAACAGTTATCATAGTATAACAGCCTGTCACAGGTTACAGCGTGATGACTAGAGAAGACATGGAAGAGCATAATGGTCTAGGTGGAAAAAAAATCCAACTCAAACATTGAGGATTAAAAGAGGGAAATCACCTGTTGATTTATATATATAGATCCCAGGGTATATTTTTTGTACCTGGAAACTGTTTAAATGTGTAATATGTGGTAGATCTTATTTTGTTATACTATTAATATGGTATACAGAATCTGAATCTCACTCTGAGTTATAAACTAAAGAAATGAAACTAAAGAAATGACAAACTAAAGAAATGAGAGATAGTTTTTGTTAAATCAACACAATGGAGTTTTTGAGCCCTCAGAATATATATCCAAGATCCTTGTGATGGTATATCAACTCACAAAAGGTTGGATGACACCTCTGTCATTGCTTGAGAGCGTCTGTTTCACTTGCACTGGCACTAGGCAGTTTCGGAGTTCGGGTAGGAACCCAGACACAAAAAGGACTACAAAATTTGTCTGCTTTACGGTATATGTCATATCCCCCTCCTTGTCATATCCCCCTCCTCGTCATATCCCCCTCTTCTCTTTAGAGTAGCGTAGGCGAACTGAGGTGAACGAAGTTATGTTATGTGTTATGTGGTTGTCATGGCTGAAGTGACAAAGAAAAGGAAGAAGGTGAAGGTGTTGTCTGAGGAGACGAAAAGAAAAGGAGGAGGGATGCCCGACCGATGGTGACCTGTTACTGCTGTTACCCTCTCCTTAGGAGACTCACTGTCTGCAGGTCGGCTGCCTCAGGTGCATGTTCAGATAAAGTGTTAGCCTACATACAGACAGCTTTCATTTGTTTGTCTTTAACACTTGTTAGCACCGTGAGCGCAATGTACTTGTGTCGACCGCGATCGTAAATCATAATAGTGGTGAATGAGAGACTGCGGACCGAGCAGATTGAAATATGGCTTTCTACATGCTGATCACATGTATTGATAAAGTTTTGGCTTGGCTGGCAGAGGTTTTATCGCACTTACTTACAGTAACAAGCGTAGCTGTCGTCAACTAGAGTAATCTTGAAGTTATATTCCCTTCATCTGCACCACGGCCTCTCTGCTGTTGTCTGNATGCTGATCACATGTATTGATAAAGTATTGGCTTGGCTGGCAGAGGTTTTATCGCACTTACTTACAGTAACAAGCGTAGCTGTCGTCAACTAGAGTAATCTTGAAGTTATATTCGCTTCATCTGCACCACGGCCTCTCTGCTGTTGTCTGACTTCACTCTGTTGAGTTTGTGTGTGTCTGTGTGTGTGTGTGTGTGTGTGTGTGCGCGCGCTTGCTGTGAGGAGGAGGTCAGCCCTGACATGCAGAGAGCAACTCATTTCTGAGTTTCAAAAATGAATAAGTAAATAAAGCAATCGGCCTAATCATGTATGTACAAAATGATATAAGGCTACTTTACCTGTTCTGAAGACAGGATGATCGCGCATTACACGGCCAGCTTCAGGAAGTTCACCGGTATCGTTGGCTTGTCAACAAATACACGTGCAGAAAGATTTTTGTGACAGTTGTAACAGAAAATACCGTTTTTCGTCTGTAGGGGACCCCGTGAGGTAAAAAGCACAATCCTACATTGTGTTGCTTTAAGTTTTTACTGAATATTTGAAGGCAAACTGTTTGGTTAATATGTAAAACTATATCATTTTTTTGTTTCAGTTCTATTTTTTTAAATGAATACTAAATTTTTTTTTTTTTTGTTTTACTAATTTGTCACATCATCAAGAATGTCCTTATCACAAAAATATGGTGATATTATTTTAGGGCCATATCACCCACCCCTAAATGGCAGTATTAGGACAAAGGATGGGCATTTCTTTGTGTTTTTAACGTGAAAAAGTTTTAATGCTAATAGCTTTGTTGTAACTTTAGCATTTGCTTCCTGACTGGTAAAAGAAGATCGATACAAAGGGAGACAGTGTGTGCATGAGCTGAAAGCATCAGGGAGACAGAGAATAAGAGAGACAGCGTACAGAGTATGTAAAAAAGTGAACCAAAAAAAACAGAACTTTACACACACTAAATCAGCAAAGTTTTGATTAAATTTTTCTCAAGAAGCATTCAAACAACATCAGGGTGTTTGTGTCGTTTCCTTGTGTGTGAAAATTACATTTTTTGCAGTGTGTTTTTTTAAATGCATCATTTTTCTAATTTTCTGAATCTTCACAATTCATCAGATGCACACATAAATAGGAATGTGCAAAAGGGACTTTAAGGTTTAGTTCCTTTTATTCCATAGTTCCTGGGACTACTTGTTTGAAAAGCTCTAAATGTAAGAGGTTTCCTTTAGCTCAAACTCCACAGGTAACACTCATCTCTAACCTTTTCTCTTACAGCTGTGACCTTTTACACTTTTTCCACAGTTGTGTTTCAAAGCGTAAACAGTGTGGGGTTTGGGGTGCCGTCTACCCACAAAAAGTTTCGGCTTATGCAGCTTTAAACTTGATGCACTCGGTCAGATGTTGATATTAACTGTCAAAAAGCACCTTCAGGCCAGAGAAATGTTGGGAACTGAGAAAAAGCAAAGTCCCTTGACTGAATCTCCTTCTTTCAGCTGAGATGTGTTGGGTTTTGTTCTGTGGGCTGCAGTGGTGCATCATCCCCTCAGTACAGGAGGGAGTCTTTGGCTCTCTACAGGACGCAGAGCAGCGAACATCAAAGGCAAACCTCAGCTGGATTCACACAATCTGAGAGATACCTCTGTGGTGGCAAGGGATAAAGAGAGGGAGGCAGAAATAATACAAAGATAGATAGATAGTTTGAAAGGACAGCAGTTACAGCCAACCATTTATATTGTATATAGAAATGCATTGGAATTATATTAGACTAGTACATCAAAAACTCTCCACAGGGCCACCGCCTTTCAATAGGGGTATAAATCCGAGTTGTCATTCACCCACCACAATAAAAATTCAAGAGGGAGTGCTCGACTAGATGCTGATGTGGGGCTTTGTTAACGGCTATCACGGCTGGTTTTGGAGCTTTTGGGAGGGAATGGTTTGCAGATTTCTCCATTTACAGAACTCAGTGGCTCAGTGTGGTGCCAGAGCAGAGAATCATCCGGAGTCCAGGATTTCTTTTTCTATTACTCTTACTGTAAGAATAATTTGGTCAACTTGGAGTCAAATTGAAGATAAGCCAGCTGAATGTTTTTTTTTTCCTCAATAAGTTTCATTGTGATGCCTACACAGTTTTTTTCCTCCCCTGTAAACATTCCAACACATTACAGGATATTGATGTAAGAGAGAAATTGTTGTGCTCAGTTCTTGGGTCTGTAGGCACCACTGCAACTTAAAGCCAATCATACAGCTGGACCTGTTCCAGCCACCCACAGCAGTGGTTCCCAAAGTGGGGCGCCTTTAAGAGCGTCCAAGGGTGCCGCAGGATTTATCATATGATTGTTTATGTATTGCATATTTTTAATAACGTTTTACCACGTTATAAAAATGAGGGGTATTTACATAAGCCATACTTTATATTGCATTTTGAAACACATCATAACAGAGGAAAAAAGCGAGAGATAAAAAGTCATATTACAAACTCTGTTTATGGAAGATGCATATAGAGTGCACAGATCTTAAAGTTTTGTTG